ATCCTGCTCTCAGCCGCACAGACTTCTGTACAACAATTTAGAAGTTAATGATGCACTAGAGACCCTGTGGTGTAGATGAAGCACCATAACAGAAATGTTTGTTGAAAAACCACTCTCTGAGCTCTCTCTGATTCCTTTATCTCAGTAAGAGGTAATTTCAAATAAGGTCTCACAGGGATGTGCTGTGAGCCTGTCTCTACTGGATATTTTTGCTGTTATGTCCAGCGGTGCTAACTGGAGAATGTATTTACATAATTTTGCCATGACCTCCTTGCCTGAAAGGACTGAAGGACTCACCTGGAGTGAGCGTCTGAGTTAAAGATGATTTGGACCAACAGTAATGACGAAGGTGAAATTATATATTTAGGAATGTACAACTACACAAGTGGCACAAATACTGCAAAATAAGAACAAGGGGTCATGGGACAAATACAAGTCACAGGTATTCTACTGTGGCATCTGTTCTCCCCATCTACCTGGTACAAGGTGAGGGAAAATCTGATTAATCTGTGTGAAGGAGAAGATATGTTAGATGGGAGAAAAAACGTTACTATGGAATTTGTTGCTAGTAGTCAAGGGAGTCCACAGGATCCCTGCCACTGTGCCTTCAGGAATGGATTAGATGAAGAGCTCTCAGGGAAGGCCACCATGTGCTTCATGCTGTCCCAACATGGTAGCTGGGGTGACCTCCCAGCCCCTGCAGCATCAGCCACATCTGCCTTGCAGCTTCTCCAGCAAAGTCCTTTCCCCATGTTTGGGCCAGACAATGATCCGAGCTGCGGAGGCCGAACACTGATGCAGTGGCGCTGCTCACACTGCTGCTTTGAGAAAATAATTTAAGAGGATTAGATCTGTAAGAATTCATGTAAATTTTGAACAGATCTCTCTCTGAAAAAAAACCCAGATTAACTCAAAAAGTTGTCAAATAACACAGAGGTAATATATTGTAAAGTCTATATAATCCAGACACTTGATTCCTAAAATGAAAACAGTATTTGAAATGACAGGTCAGGAAAACCTTGCTTTTCTGAGTCTCTGTTGCATTTCTTGTCCCCCTACTTCTTCCACACAAGGGACCCCCTCCCCTGTCCACATATTCCTTCCTTGTTTCATTTGCTGTATTGGGAAGAATATAAAAGTGTGGTCAAAGAGACTGCAAAAAAAAAACCCCAAAAAACCAAAAACTATAAGAGGAGGCAAAACTATTGGAAGAGGCAAAACTGAGTGTGACAGCACTGCAGTAAGTAAGGAAACACCATTCAAATTGGACATTATCCATGTAGTTTGCATTTGAGCATTGCCAAATAGATCTTGGTAAGTGCAGCCCAGCTCTGCTCCATTTACATATCCCCCTTTTCCAAAAGGAACAAAGGTAGTTGCTGTAACACTCAGGAGAGGAAATGGGAGAAAACTAGATGGATTTAATGGTATGTTTTCTCTAATTTCTTTACTATTTTTGGTTTTACTCTCTGAGGGAGGCAGGGAATGAAAGGCTTTAAAGCAGCTGCCTGGTACTGGTGTATAAAAGCTGGGGAAATGCGTACCTTGTGTGTGCAGAGGGGTGACAAGGACCCGTGCGGAGTATTCATCATGCTGCTCCTTCACTTCTCTGCAGACTAAGCTTCAGAAGCCCCTTCCTCTACATTCTGTACTGCACTCATCATTTCCCTGTGTCCCTGAAAATGCCAAGCAATTATCTGGTTGCTTTCCTTTCTTTTGAAAATCTAGATGTTTGTAAGTTCACTTTTCAGAAACAGGTGGTTGGAAAAGTTGTCAGCCTCAGAGATGCAGTTAATCTTTGGACAAATATACTTTCAATGGTGCACTGTTGTCTAGCAACTATACTATAAACAGCCCTCCATTTGTCTCCTGTGGGTAATCACTGATTTCTTGGGGATTAAAGCTTAAGTAACACTCCAATCTAGGTGCATGCATCAGACCACAGAGTATTACAGCAGATTATGCCTCCCAGTATACAGCTTGCTTAACCATTTAGAATCACAACAGAAAACAGACAGCTGCAATGATAGGAAAATGAGTAATGTCAAGTAATTAGTATTTTGAGTTAAGTTGTAGAACATTCCACTGGCAGGCACAAAACAATTCCTGTCATACAGGAAGGTGGAGTGTCAGATAAGCATCATATCAGAACATCTCATCTAGGCTGAGCCTGAGTTATTTCAGTCTGGATAGCTCTCTTGATGCAGGGAACAGGCTCTGCATGATCTCCTGCATCTGCTGCCTCGTGCCGCAGGTATGGAATTTTACCTTCCAGTGGTGTGCAGGACCGTGCTTCAGCGAGGTACTGCCACTCATCGGTGGGCACAGAGGCTCAGGACTGGTTGAGCAGACACTCTACGTGTTGTGAATACAATCTACTTGATGCATCTGCTTCTGTAGATCACCTTCTGCTTAAGAGACTGAGCCGTGCTCTTGCTAAATCACTGCATTTAACACCTTCCCAGCGAAGTTCCCCTGCCTTCGATTGCTGATAGCCCCGGCGTGATGCTAGGGAACGACTGAGTGAGGTGGCCTGGGGCCTGCCTTCAGGAAAGGGCAGTCGTTTGGTTGGATTTAAGCGAAATCTAAATAATTTAACTAAATAGATAAGAATTAAAGGCTCTAGAGTTAGAATAAATCTCAGCATTTTTGGGATTACAGTTTCAAATGTTGACCTCCCACCCTGAAAGAAATGTCTGTGCGTGGGTAACGCTATATACCTTTGGGTGTTTAACTGAAGGAATTAGGTTCAAGACATTTAAGATTTACCTTAAGAATTCACATTTTAAAGAGAGCAATTTTGATAAAACCTGGAAAAACAAACTCACGCTAGGGTTTCCCCACCTTTCCCTTGTGATGTTTTTTTAATGGCTTGTTTGTGACCCACAAGCAGCAACTAAAGTGCCCCCTTGTCCCTGCAACACTCAGGCTCTTCAGGCTTTGGGCATGATGTCAGGAGGCAGCAGAGGCAACACGCTCACTCAGCCTGTCCAAAACACTGCTCAGGAAAGGGTAAATTGTTGTGCCTGCCCTCTGCTTTCCCAGCCCATCTGAGCCAGAGTCTCTTGCAGCTTCTGCAGCAGCAGATCCCTCCTTGCAGGCTCAAGAAGTGAAAGTAGATGGAAAGCAGGAAACAGCCTCGCCAAAGGGAAAATCCTTTCCAGGGCCAAGCCAGTGTGAGGGTTGCAGTATGCCAGCTTTTGCTCCCAGCTGTGCCAAGATGTATTTGGGTATTATGGACGGTGTTGGAGTGCTCAGCAGGTCAGTGGAGCAGTGCAAGGGGCACCCCAAATACTGGGTTGAAACTTACTTAGATGCAAGTGCTTCCCATGTGCTGTGTGGGTGACCCTGGAAAGAGTCCATGGATATAAATGATATCTCAGAAAATATTGGCTTAATTCAAATGCCCACAGGGTGCCCCTCTCTGAAACACCACCATTTCAGAAACTTTCATTCTTAAGCAGTTGCTGACAATGAGGAAGGGCTGATCATACTTCTCTAACTGTGAAATGTAGGCTTTAAGGTTTCAGGGTATAATGAGAGGGAGATTTTGTACCCTGCATCTTTTCCTAAGTGTTTAAAAGAAGCATCTGTTAGACCCAAGGAGGAATACAGGCACACTCCAGAGCTCTGTCTGTCTCAGAGTGGGAGGAGTTGGCTTTCTCTGGGAGCCTCTACACAAACAGTGTGATCCCACTGGGACTTGTTGAGTTTTCAGTTCTTGCCTCCAGACAATCTTACTACCGTTTTGTGTTTCAGTTTCAAATTCCCAAAGCAGTTACTTAGGTGTCCTTGTCTTTTTTCTTCCTACTGCTCTCTCCTGGAGGGGATGTATGTGTTTAAGTTAGTGTTTTCTTGCACAAGACATCCCATGAAGATTCAATGACTCGCTGAGTTTACACACTGAATGGAGCAATAATTAGATTCCCTCCATATTTTTATTCAGAGAAATGATGGCATTATCATTACACTACCCCCCCTTTTAATTCCTTTCCAAATCAGATTAAATCCCTCCTCCCTCTGCATTGATTTCAGTAGACTCTGGAACAAACTCAAACAGGGCATGGACAAAGTCTTGGTCCTGCCAAATTTAATGGCAAAACTGTTGCAGTGAATTTTGAACAGTGAAAAATTCACTTTTGAATGAAAGAGAACAAATAATTTGAAGCCTCTTGAGGCAAATGAAAATCTGTCAATGGCTGTCAGCTGGATTTGCATAAGTGTAAGATAAAATAATATAGATTTTGATAAGACAGAAACAAAACCCCTTCAGATATGGTGTGAAAGTAGTTACCTGTCTAGTACTAGAGAAAGTTTAATCACATAATGAGAATTAATGTTTAAAAAGTTATTACCTCTGCAAAGGTGACATCATACACTGTGTCAGCATTGGAGATGTGGTCATTTTAAAAGCCAACAACCTTGGCAATGCCCTTTGGGGATTATTGTTTGTTAACAGTGTACATTAGGAATCAAGCAATCACAGAGAGTGCAATTAAGTGCATAATCAGAGATATTTTTGACATCTGTCTACTTATAGGCTCCATGGCATTTTTTTGCATCTCCCCGCCTTGTGTCTTCAATTAATTTATCGTGACCATCTGTGTTGTATTTTTTGCTGCTCAGCTTGCCTTACTACATCTGTTTTTTGGCAGAGTATTTCATGAGACTTCATAATTTTCACTCAGAGCTAAAAGTACAGAATTTGCATTTACTCAGTTAGGTTGCTTGGTTAAGATAATCAGCAATTAAACAGACCACTAACACTACTGTTAAATGACTCTTAAGTGGTGAACAGGAAGGCAAGAAGGAAGCAACAGCAGTTTAAAAGCTACAGCTCAGTTTTTCTGGTGCTGCACAGAGTTAAAACCATCAGGGGTTCTACATCTCCCCCACTGCTCACTCTGGATCCCCGGCTTAGGGGACACTTCAGAGAGAGGGGGACATGTCATGGCAGGAAGGGTGTTTGT